CATAAAATGATCTGACTTACAGGATTCCATCAGAAATAACATAGCAGGATGCGGTTGAGGGGTTTTGCCTCAGCAGAAGTTTTTTTGGGGGGAGAGGAGTTACCTGCTCCACATGTTGACCAGTATCTCTGGAAAGTAGTTAAATCAAAGAGTTTGCCTAACCCTTTCTGAGTTTGAGACCATAGCCCCTTGTCACAGACCTCATGACACATTGAACACAGAATTGGAATCTAGTTTATAATGAATAATAAAAACTAAACATAAACATTTACCAAAAGCTAAAGGTAAACATTTATCAAATTGTTGAATGTTGTTTCAGAAGGCAATAGTCCAGATTTCTTTGAAGCACAGACTTTATTTCAGTTTGAACTCTCTCTCTGTAATCTTGGTGCACTTTCACTGTGGTGTGCTTCTCCTCTTTGGTAATTAAGTGTTTTCCTGGAACAGGTTTTGCACTATTAATACATATTCATTCTTTGAACCTCAGACCAATTTATGAGGTTGATGCAGCATTTTGATAGTAGATATGTTTTGGATCAAAGCACAGTACTGCAAATATCAGTGTCATTCACCTTGTTGTGAATCTAACTTCAAAGAGTATCCATGAGCACCTTGGTTTCTGGTTTTAAAGTGTGTTTGACCCAAGGGGTTAGGATTCTATTCCGATAGAGGCGATTAGATTAGACATGAAAAGCACGATATCCAATGCAAGGATTATTATTATTAGAGAAGCCGGTAGGGGAGAGGAAATTTAACCTTCTTAGCCTTTTATAATCTAGTAGTGAAGTGTTTAAGATATCCTCTCAGCGTGAAAGGAGCTATATCAGATGCAAGGATTATTATTTTACTTTATTCATTTTACCTCATGGCTGTTTGTAGGACATTGCTGACATAAATGGCTGCTTTGTTTGTCTACAAAAAGCAATCCCTACATTTAAAAGTAATTATTTGCAAAGTGTTCTCATGAGATGCTTTGACACGAAAATGTGCAATAAGAATACAGGTTCTTCTTTTCAGAATTACTAAATGGGAGCAAAGGATTTGTGGCTTTCCAAGGTTGCAACTGCTAGGAACACCTTTTTTCTACAAGATCACTTTGGTCATCCAAAGGGAATATTTCTTCCCATTTCTGCTTTAGACTATGGTGTGGAGTCCTGTAGCTTAGTGGTTAGAGCACTCACCTTGCAAGCGAGAGGACCCAGGTTCAATTCCCAGGCATGGCAAAATGTTGGGCAAGTTTCCCTAGTCCACATGCTTCTGTTTATCTAACAGTAAGTAGGTACCCGATTGTTAGTTGATTGGCGGATCGCTTTTCCGGGGTTAATAATCCCCTTAAAAAAAGTAACAATGATAATAATTTGGTCACTCTATCCACGACTGCTTGTGGGACACTGCTGTGTACCTGCTGTGTTTTCACCCACAAAATATACAGTTTACTTTACTGTATATTTACTTTACTGTATATTCTAGAATCGCTTTGAGACGTTTCAATGACATGATAAGAAGCTATATCAAATGTAAGGATTATTATTATTATTATGGGATCTCTGACACTGGCCCAACTCCAAGGCATTGATGATCTCATACCACACTGAGGGATGCAATAAGGAAATAATAAGGAAACCATCATTGGAGGCAGTGATTCTTGCCACTCAACTCTTGTTAACCTTACAATCTAAAGTCCTAACAGATAGGTATTCCTTGCAGACAATAATAATAATAATCCTTGCATTTGATATAGCACTTTTCACTTCTTCTTGATGTCTCAAAGCCCTTCACTGAATATACTGTAAAGTGAATTGACTGTATATTTGTGGACGAAAAGCAGTAGCCAATTGTACACAGCAGTGTCCCGCAAACAGTTGTGGATTGAATGACCAAATTACTATTGTTTTTTTCTTGAGGGTTTATTATCAGGCGTGTGGAGTAAGGAAACTTGCATAAGGTTTCAACCTCCCTGGAATTGAACCTAGGTCTCAAACAATCAGTGGGAAACGTGCCAGAGAGTGCTCTGAATGGCCAGCTTTAGTTGGAAATCCAACCATACCCCAACATACAATCTGGGGTCCCCAAACCTTGGCTTTTGAAAACCTGTGCCAAATGCTCTCCAGGATTAGGAAAGTGGGATGCATCCCTCGGGAAGTGCACATTCCATTCCAAATATGGTAACAGAGTGGCATACATCTTGCTGTTATTCTGGTTTGGATACTCTTAAGCATGGTGATAGGTTTCCGCATGTGTCAGACACCCAGCTGACAAAAAAAAATCCAATTATTGGCAAGAGTATGCACTCAGATTCAGCATAAAGGAATGTCATAAGAGATTGCCACATATTAGGCCCCCATCAGATGGTAAATACAGTAGATCCATCAGAGGCCAAAATTAATGATACCTGGAACCAACAACAACAAACTATATGTGTATACTCCAGGGCATTGTGCTGTTCTTGCAGTGAATATTCTCCAGTAGGAGTTTAATGCTTGATTTAAAAATCAGAATACTGCACGTGCACCACAACCTTCAGTTACATTGTGCTGAGTAGTCTCAGTAGCATTTCTGCATTTTAAATAGATTTTGCCTGTGATTTAAAAATAGCAGCATCATATGCCTCAACGACACTGGAGCATTCTGTGGATACTGAAACATGAAGATTACCAGAGGGCACCTTTTATATCATTTCCTCAATAACCAATGATTTGTGGCATTTTTATTTTTATGTGCGTAATCAATTACTGTGCTCATCAAGTATATCAGTACTGTGAAATTGAATATTTTTCATCCAATGTCAGCATCAAACACGCACAGGTTTGATACAGTATGAATGGAAACATGGTATACCCTTCCTTTGCTCTTCCACAACCATACAACATAACCCAACATTCAGGACACCTTCCACCGCAGCAATGTGACATTTCACTTTCCCGCACCCAATCTTTCACAAAACACATAAAACACACAGTCATTCCAGTTTACAATGTATTCCTGTGAAGCATTTTGTGATGCCCTTCCGAAATGAAAGATGCTATATCAAATAATAATAATAATCCTTGCATTTGATATAGTACTTTTCACGTCTTCTAGATGTCTCAAAGCACTTCACGGAATAGACCATAAAGTGTATTGACTGTATATTTGTGGGCGGAACACAGCAGCTAATTGCGCACAGCAGCGTCCCACAAACAATCATGGATTGAAGTGACCAATTTATTATTGTTTTTTTTTCTTGAGGGATTATTATCAGCCGTGTGGAGTAAGAAAACTTGCGCAAGGTTTCACCCTGCCTAAATGTAAGGATTATTATTATTATTTCAGGATAACTGATATATTGTATATTATTGTCATATTGTATTGTGCCTTTTTGTATCCAATGAAAACCTCAAAACCCTTCACTCAAAATCCTGAAGAAGGAAGAAAGGGAGGGGAATTTAACATTCTACATTATATGTTATGGGATGCTATTAACTAAATGGCTATTGATATCTAACAAATACAATATTACATTTATACAGTGCCTTTCATGTCAGGAGGACGTCCCAAGGTGCTTAGCAATAATGGTTTGGCACCCAAGTTGGGGGCAATCTTGAAATAACTGCATAAATCTAGTTGAAGATTTATGCTCCTCTGTGTCTGCTTCTCTCCTGGACTCAGCATATGACATTTAACGTGCATTCAACACCAACAACCCCCTTGCTTAATGTGGCCATTTTCTCTCTGTGAGCCCACCAAAATAATAATAATAATAATAATAATCCTTGCATTTGATATAGCGCTTTTCACGTCGGGAGGACGTCCCAAAGCGCTTCACAGAATACACTGTAAAGTGAATTGACTGTATATATTTGTATATATTTGTGGGCAAACGCGGCAGGGGTAGGGCGATTGCAGAGCAGCCTGACCTGTTTCTTACCTGATATACACACCTGACATGGCCATTTATTAAAGGGCTACTGAATAGCTTTCTGAAACAGAATCCCTTGCTGCCTTTCACTGCCCCACCCGCCCAGAAGGGCGTTTGATGGCACTCTTAATTTACCACCGAGAGCAGCAAGGCTAACAGTTTAATTCGGATTGGGAAGGTTTTTTCGCGAGGGATTCGAGTCACTCGATGGGCTGCGCTCCCGACTTGACCCTTCTGAACCCGGAGTTGCGCTTCGAGTCCGGCTGCTCCGAAAGCAGCAACTTTACGAGGGCAAACTTAATTCCTGTCCGTCCCAGAGGCTCTGAGGGTCCGTCATTGACCTTTCGGTCGCAGGCGTAAATGATGGTTGGTCGGTTTGGGATTGAAGGGGTTAACTAGATCCCCGGGGTGCGAATGGGAGAGGAATTCACAATGCACTGTGTGCTGTGTGTGATTTATTCCTCAGTGGTTATTTTGCTTTCCCCCTCCATCACCACCACCACCACCACCACCAGCACTGCTCAGTTGTGGTCTCTCTCTCCTCGTTCCCTTTGTCTCTGTCCTGTCTGCACTGTGCTGTTATCTGTCCTTTCTCTGATTTCCCTCCATCCCTTCCTCCATCCTTCTTCCCTCCCTCCCTCCCTCCCTCCCTCTCCTGCTTTTTGTTTCAATGTCCCTCTACCCATTTCTTTATGATTTTCTCTTTCTTTCTCTCTCTCTCTCTCTCTCATTTTACTCTTCTTATTTTGCCTTTTAGTCTGTTTCAAGCTCTCTTTTGTGATTGAATCTGGTCCTTCCTCTCACTCTCTCTCTCTCTCTCTCTCTGTCTGTCTGTCTCTCTCTCTCTCTCCACACACACACACACACACACAGAGCCATCATCCCATTCCCTCCATCCATCACCCCATCCATTCTCTGCTCTCAAGGTCTGTGGAGGGCACAGATCCCAAACCCTCCTCAACGTCGGAGTCCCTCTCCTCCCCGTTAAACCGGTGCTGTTGTAACCTGATCTCTCAGCTCTGTCTCTCAGCTTCAGGGCGGATCCCACCATTCAATCCGTTGCACTACACACAGCACAGCGAGAGGGAGTGAGTGAGTGAGTGAGAGTGTGTGTGAGAGAGAGAGGAGTGAGTGAGTGTGTGAGTGATCCTCTGCTCAGAGCTCGAGCTGAACGCAACTGCTGGAGAATGAAGTGAAGGGAGAGAGAGAGAGAGAGAGAGGGGGAGAGAGTGATTTGCTCTGAACACACACCTGACCAGGATCTCAGCAGATCCAGACCCTCACCTGGACATTTAACTATCCACTGGTCGCACACAATTGAGCACAAACTCGCATCCACCAGTTTCCACTCTCCTCCACTCTCCTCCCTCTCCTCCTCCCTCTCCTTCTCCTTCCCCACCCCCTAACTCTTTTAAGATTTCTCCTCCTTGCCCTGAAGCATCTCTGGAAACAGGGCATCACTAGACCATGGGGACTCTCGTGGGTCAAGGCAGAAGCTCGGATCGCCAGTGACTTGAACCGTGGAGGGGACACACACACACACACACACACACACACAGAGAGAGAGAGAGAGAGAGAGAGGGCACTTGTGAGCGACTCTTGTCAGCTGTCAACAGAGTCATTCCTGGCTGGAAAGCAACTCAAAGCGACCTTCAGCAAAGATGAACAACCTTCTGGTCCACTTGATCGTATTAGCCTTGGGTGAGGATTGCATTTGATTTTTTTTTAAAAAAAATATATATATATATATATATAATATGCATTTGATATTGTATACCTGGTGTGGTGTAGAGCTCCTCTTCATTTTCGATTTATTTTATTATATGTAACAACAGAATGAGTAGCAGGTTGTCTGTATTTTAGTTGTGTACAGGGTGTGATGTTGGAAATGAACTCTCTTCGCCATTCAGTGGCATACTTGCCTAGAAAGTGCATCTCTTTTTTTTGTAGGTTTTAACTTTTCGGTTGACTGTGATTTTTGGATTCTGCGTGAGATTCATTCCTTGCGAGGCATTCAGTTTCGACTCTTGTCATCTTATATACGTATACAGTATATTCAAAGTGCATTCATGTCAGGCTCTTGATTTAAATCATATGTGGAAGAAATTCCGAGAATCCCATGAATGCGGTTTCCATCTGGCAAAAATTTTGCATGTGCAGTATTTTGAAAGCACAAAGGCAAACTGAGCAGATTTCTATTGTCAATTTGGTACTAATATCCACTGTGGCTTTATTTTATGTCAAGCGCTCTGGGACGCTACCCTGTGTGAGCGGTGCTGTATAAGTGCAAGTTGTTGTTGTTTAATTTTGACTCGTACAGATCAACGTCATTAGGGACTGACGACAGCCGTGGAACCTAGGATTAGGTTTTGTTCTGTTCTGTGATTGTTATGATTCTTCCTTGTTGTTGAACGTCAGTCCAACAGACCCCGATAAGGTTCACGGCCAGTGATGAATTACTGACGAGCTTAAACACTGAGAAGTCTTTGTTCACACAGCAATCTGGATTGTTTTCGGATGTCCCCTGCAACAGAAAAGCAATGAACTCTGATAATGGTTTGAGAGGTATTAGGTTTCAGTGCTGAAACATATAAGGATTGTGATCATACCATGGTCATCAGAATGCTGTGATGTCGTTCTCGAGACACATAGCGCATTGTGATCAAGGAAACAGGAGAAATTATAACAATATCAACAGTTTATGGGCATTTGTATACTTCGAATTTATTTGCTTGCAGATTAGTCGTTAGATGCAGTTCTATTCCTGTTTGAATAGAGATTACATTTTGATTTAGAACGAAAATCTCGAGAGTATCTGTGAATTTGGATCAAACTATAATAATGTAATTACATACAGAAGCATTGCATTGAGCTGCCTCACATAGTGTATTGTCTCTGCAAGCAAAACCATACCTCTCCCTCCACGGTCTTAGAATAATAATCTTTGCATTTGATGTATTTGCTTTATCACATCATCGAGATGTCTCAAAGCGCTTTGTTAACATTGATATTATTGCTAAATTTTTGGCTTGCCACCAAGTGAGGGATGTCAGTGTTGGAGAATAGAATGTGTTTCCATTTTTGGGTTCCAGTATCTGTACCAAGCGTTCTTAATTCAGGTGTGTCACAGACACGATGCAGAGTAAAGGTCCTTCCACTCTGTCCCCAAAAATGTTCATTAATCTCATCCTCAGAAGAGCAAATCTAAGGATACAATTCTTCAGATCCTACATCAGTCATCATGGAGTGAGATTGCCACATTATGAGTGGCTTTTCGCTGTGGATTTTTGTCTGATTTAGACTATCCAGACTCATTTAATACAGTATTAGTCCAGATAAATCCAAAAATCGTGGCGGGGCGGGGAGGCGGAGAGTGGAAGAGATTTTCATCTATTTAACCCATTAAAGACGAGCAGACGGAGAACCAAAAAACACATTTTACAATTAAGTGATTCACATTTTTTTNGGAGGGATTGACAGAGCATCGTGCGCAAAGAAACCAAAGTACTCACTTGTTTAAGCACAGTGCCCAATGTATTGTCCCACTGGCCACAATGAATTGTGCCACATTTGTTGATGATGACTCCGATTCCACAGACTGACTGCCCAGAGCATGTGTGCACAATCATTTCCTTTGTGCTTAACAATCCCTCAGATGAAATCGGTCATTCACTTCATGACTGTTTGTCGGACATTGCTGTGTGCAAATTGGCTGCCACGTTCAACCACAAAATTGAACATGTTTGCAGCACTTTACAATACATCCTGTGAAGCACTTTGAAACCCAATGTGAAAGGCACTATATCGAATGCAAGAATTATTATCATTTTATTAGTTTTCTGCTATCGCAATGAACAGCTGCTGGTTTCTGAGTAGCTGAATCACCAATTCCCCAAATGTCTTCTTATTTTGGTTTACTTTTAAATTATTGTACTGTGCTATTTAGAGAAGGGAGTTCAATTCTGAGTCAACTGTTGATGGGTTTGTGTGCACCCAATCATTGGTGGATTAGTGGAGAATCTCATCGTCTGTACTCCTAGGCAGTCTCCACAAGCTGCAGATTATTCAGAACTCTGCAGCTCGTGTCCTCTCCCGCATCAGGCTCTGTGAACCAATCACCCCCATTCTTGCCCAGCTTCACTGGCTTCCCATCCCTCAGAGATTCTAGTACAAAACCCTCCTTCTCACCTTCAAAGCCATCCACGGTCTTACTCTCCCCTACCTCTCTGATCTTCTAACACCATATCAACAAGAAATTACACTTGTATAGTGCCCTTCAAGTCAGAAAGACATCCCAGGGCGCTGGATAATCAGGGGTTTTGGACCCGAGCTGGGAGTTGGGCTCAGAAGGGGAGATAGAGTTCCAGAGTGTGGGAGCAGAGATACTGAATGCCTGACCGCTGACGGTGGGGCAGGAAGTACAGGGGATCTGAAGCAGATTGGCGATTTTCTGCCAATAATAGTCCCTGGAAGAATGATAAGATTGCGCATTTCTGTAGCACCTTATCGCATCCAAATATCTCAAAGAATTTCACAGGTACTTACTGGCAAGTGAAGTGACTGCTTTCTTTGCAAGACCCTGGGGGGGAGACTCCCTTCTCTTTTCAAATAGATTCTTAACAATTATCTGTGGAGCAGACAGATAGCACCTTGGATTAAGGCGTTGCTCAAAAGATGGTACCTCAGACCAGTTCTAAAATCCAGGTTTGCAAGTGAAAAGCTGAGGACCTGATGAACGTTGCAAAGGAATTTTAAGGCTCGGCCTCAAGTTAAATAAATGAGTAGTGCCGTGACAGCTTAGTGAGCGCTCAGACGTTTTTGGGAGAGGATACAAAGGAGGAAAAATTAGTGAATGGGGAAAACTAACTTTGATGAGCAGTGAGAAATCTGAGTGCACACACATTTGTGCATTGACTGCAAATAATAATCATAATTTGATCACTCAATCCACGACTGTTTGTGGGACAAAATGTACAATCAATTCACTTGACAGCATATTCTGTGAAGCACTTTGAGATGTCTCGAAGACTTGATAAAAGGTTATATCAAATGCAAGGATTATTATTATCTACGTTTGATAGCCACAGTGGTACTGTTTGCCTGCCTTGTTCTGAATGCCTCCCCATTAGAGTGTTTCGGTAAAAACAATGGACCAACAATCTAGATGCTTCAAGCAAAATGTCGGGTTTCTTTCATCCTGAACGTGGCGAAAGATGTAAGGTTTCAAACCAGCGAGTTTTTCCTCTGATCGCTTGCAGAAGAAGTAGAATGAGGTCATTTTGTTTCCAGTCGTTGCCAATTTTCTTCTGCAAAAATTTCAATACATGCAGAAGAAAAATTAGAAAATGTGGATCAATCGTAATATGTCACCAAGGTGTGAGATGGTCCGCTATTGACTGGCTGGCTATTCCTAGAACGAGGTGTGAGTTTCTGCTGTGTGAAGCATTGCGGTCAGATTTGCCCGTATAATTTTATTACTGGCTACTCACTACTTGGACTGAGCTACGAGTTTCTGCCATTTGCTTGATCTGCTTTGGCATCGTTCTTTTGTTTGTTGGCATAATGGTGGATTTGGGATACAGTTTTAACTGCAGATGTGGACGCTTTACTCTCATGCAGCTGTTGCTTTTATTCTTTAATATGCTGGGTTTGTAGCCATCGCATATGCTACGCAATGAATGTACCCTCAAACAAACATTAACATGGCACTCAACATCATCACCTGTTGTGTTGTCACATTCCCATCACAGAATCTCTGTCTTTCTTCATAATAATAATCCTTACATTTGATGTAGCGCTTTATCACGTCATCAAAATGTCTCAAAGCGCTTCACGTGAATTAGTGTAAAGAGTAGTGACTGTGTATGTTTAGCCCAACGCAACAACCAATTTATGCACAGCAATGTCCCACAAACAGCCACAAAATGAATGACCAATTTTATCTGGGGAGGTATTGGCCAGGACAAGGGGAGAATTTCCTTTATCTTTTTGAATAGTGCCATGAGAACTTTAACGTCTCCCTGAACAAACAATGCAGCACACGCCCAGCACTGCACTGGAGTATCAGCTTTGACTATAACCTCAAAGTCCCAGCGTGGGGCTTGTACCCACAACCTTCGGACTCAGTGACAAGATTGCAATCAATTGATCAGATCCTTGCAGCAGCCCTGATGTTGCTGGAGGTGGGAAGTGTTGCACAAAGTGGCAGAGATATAAATCATCTGCTGCTCTTCCTCCCAGGTCAGAAGGCAGAGTCATTGGAGCAGGGGGAGAACAGGACTATTGACATCATCATGCAGTGTACATGATGACTACATATGTACAGTGATGTCTCATCACAAGAGCTTGGTGTTGGTGTCACTCTGTGGCTCATGCCGATTCTGTTGTCACATTCCCAGCACGAAATCTCTTCCAGCATCAGTAGTGCCAGCTGGACACAGCTTAAATTTCCTCTCTCTCTCTATCGCTCGCTCCACCACGTTACTGGAGGTTGGGAGTGGACTAGTTGAAAGCAACAGAGCTCTCATCTATTTTTGTCTTGTATTTTCCTGTCAGTGTAGGGAAGAATAAACGAGCACGAGCTTGGTTTTGTCTTCACTATGTTGTTTTACCACTCTGCGATGCTGGCCTGCGCGAAGGGCATTTATAAATGCAAGTTGTTGATGTTTTATTCGTGGTTTCTGACTCTTCGTGCAGTGACG